GGAAGGGAATGGACAAGATCTTAGATGAGAGCAAAGAAAAAGAAAAAAAAGACCCCTTAGTCTCCCTGAGGCTAGGACTCCATCTGGCCTAGATGCTAAAGTGTGGTGGCTCTGAACACCTTGCTGAGGCAGGCAGCAATAAGGCAGCCAAAAGCAAGAGAGAGAGAAGGCTAGGCAAGGAAAGGGTCTGAGGATGGACCTGGACCTCTGCAGGTGTCAAGATCATCTGCATGTTACCATCTCGTCCCCATTATCCCCTAAACCCCAGAGAAGTCTCATTAAAAGGGAATGTGGTCTCAGCTGATATGTGGGAAACCATGGGCTATGGTCTGAATGTGTTGCCCAGAGTTCACGTGTTGGTAACTTAATCCTCAGGAAACAGTGTTGAAAGGTGGGACTCTTAAGAGGTGATGAGGTTATCAGGGCCCTGCCCTGGTGCATGGGTTAATGGCCTTATCTCAAGAGCAGGTTCCTGATTAAAGGATGAGTCCAGCCCTCTCTTGCTTGCTCACATGCTCTTGGCCTTCCACCTCCTGCCATGGGATCATGCAGCAGGAAAGCCCTAGCCAGACACGGGACACTCAACTTTGGTTCCCCAGCCTCCAGAACTATAAGAAATAAATCCGTTCTTTATAAATTACCCAGGCTTTGGTATCACAAAACAGACTGAGGGGTGGGGAACCTGTAGCACCAAGACCACATATGGCCCTCCACATCCCCAAGTGTGCCCCCTCGACCCAATCTAAACTTAGCAAAACAAATCCCTTTATTAAAAGGATTTGTTTGGTAAAAACTGGCTGCAGTCAAAAGGCTGCACTCAAGGATCCAGAAGGCCACATGTAGACCCAAGGCCACAGGTTCCCCACCACCACAGGGTCACAGGAGGCAAGGAATAAAGCAGGAAGAGCAGTGTCCAGCCCTCACATGGGCCTGAAAGGTGGGCAGAAGGCAGAACCCAGCCAAAAGGCAACCTCACAGATGTCGCCAACAAAAAAGGTGCCATGTGGCAGCAGGAGAGAAAGTCAGAGCTACAGAGTCCTGAGCACAGCTGAGGCTGTGTCCCAGGAAAGGCTCCAACACTGAGCAGGGCCACTGCAAGAAAAGAAGGGAGGAATTAGTAATTTCTGAAAGAAATTTCTAGAAGTAAAGGGCTCATGCTGTCAGAATCTGAGGTTTATTATGAGAGACGTGTAGATCTGGGAAGTTGGAGCTGAAAGATAAACAGTCCCTCAGTACTTCCCTTCGAAGCCCTTACCACAGTTTCACTGCGCACGAACCTGCAAGTTCTTCGTTGCCTCTCGCCCCCCACACTGCACACTTGGTGAAGGCAGGACACTACATGTCTTGCTCATCACCATTTCCCCAGCCCCTATTGGCACAGATGACTCAAAAAATAAGTTGGATAAACAAACGATTAAAACATTCTGGAGTGTTTGATGATTCTCACTTTCTCCACATTGCTGAAATTTTGTTTCGTGTTTTTGATTTTAAAAAGTATATTATCAAGGAAAGAAAGTTGTGTCTTTTTTAGAAAGAGTCATCTCACAAATAACACCTTTGAGGCTTCAGTCTCTGAGTTGTAAGCATTTGTTTAGAAAGACAAATCATGGCTCAGTGCCCGTAGCACAGTGGTTATGGCGCCAGCCACATACACCAAGGCTGGTGGGTTCAAACCCGGCCGGGCCAGCTAAACAAATGCAACAAAAAAATAGACAGGTGTTGCAGTGGGCACCAGTGGTCCCCGCTACTTGGGAGGCTGAGGCAAGAGAATCGCTGAAGCCCAAGAGTTTGAGGTTGCTGTGAACTGTGACATCACAGCTCTCTACCGAGGGCGACACAATAAGACTCTGTCTCAAAAAAAAAAAAAAAAAAGACAAATCACTGTAGGAACGAAGTGTAGGATGCACATCACTGAAAACACACAGAAATGCACCCATGGAGACACTCCGTGATGGCCTGCTCCATGTCCCAAAGTGACTTGGGAACCAAAGGCTACGCTCTGTGCAGAAGCTATCGCAGGAAGTGCTTCGTAAAGCATTACAATTCTTTGAACACTGACCATCCACATTTGATAAAATAGCATGCACTACCCTGGGCAGATGCCAGGCACTTGGGACACAATCAGTCCACCAGGCACTGTGGCTTCACAAGTACATGAGAGACCACCCCTGATTCTGCAAGGGAACAGCAGCAACAGTTGCTCCAAGGCCTGAGAGTGTGACCGCAGAACAGAGTAGGGAGGCTGTTTCACAGAGGACTACAGAGACAGGGACAATAAATTGAGAAGTTTAGCAAATAATTCCCAGCCCCCTACTCTAGGAAGCTTTCCCTGACCCAGAGAGAAGGGAAATTATTGAATTGGCATCTTCTACTTTAAGCAGCAATGGGGCTTAACCTCACTGTAAAGCAGTTGTGCCGGCAGGCTCAGCAGTCCAGCTGGTGCCAGCCACTTGGGGCTGTGTGGCTATAGTGCTTAATGCATTCCGGGTACAGGGAGGGATTACTCCAAAAGCAGCTGCGATGGACAGAGAGAGGTCTTGCCCCAGCCCGCAGAAGGGCTCCCCCTCCACTGGAGCTCTGTCTAAGCACCTCTGCAGCCTGGCCACTACAGAGTGCATGGCACTTTGTTTTCGATGTTGACTTAATATGAAACTCCAGATAAAAGGAATGGGATGTCCTTCTTCTCACCCTGCCCTCCCCTCCTTCCCCCTAGAACTAGAGGCCAAATCTCTGGGGAACAAGATGCTCATCTGAGAAGAGTCCAGGGGCCAGTACCAAGAGATGACTCCCAGTCCTCTCCCCAGAAGAGCTCTGTGAGGGAGCCCGGACAGTCTCCATCTCGGCCGTGCAAAGGCTGGGTAATTACCGGGTGACTAGCTCAAGCCCCTTGCCCTCCTCACCTCCCACTAAAATGCATGGCACAGCACAATCGAGAAATGTGCTTATTAATTTTACTCATTTGACACTGTGCTCTCCTGCTCTGAGCTAGATGTTAGGAGAAAATGATAGGGATAGATTCTGCTCCTGTCAGGCTCACCAAGACTTCCAGAAAACCAAACTATCAAAGGCCATCTGCCACCCACTAGCCAAGTAAGCCGGATGACCCCAAAGGTGCAAACGGAAAGTTAAAGATACAGATCAGCAAAAGAGGACGCAAGGAAGATGGGGAGACCCCTACCCTGCGCTCAAGCTCCCTGGTGCCTTCCCAGGAAGGCACCCCCATGCCCAGCCTCCCACAGAATGGAGTGCCCAGCCCCGGCCTTGATTCATGACCTGCTGCTTGGTACCTAATTCATCAAAAGATACTCTGGCTTCTAACATCAGGAACATTTTTATTATCTTCCCCAAGAGTTTTATGGCACAGAGCCATACCTAATGATTCTATTTTATGAAAAGTTATACATTCAAAGCAGCTTTGAAGTCAGGCAGCAGGTAACACTCAAATATTTGTCAGGAAAGATTCTCTTGTTCTTTCACTTTTAACATGTCTGTGAGCTTTCACACAGTAGGGAAGGACACAGCACATCCAAACAGGCTCCTCTTCTCCCATCCAGGCCCAGTGCAGGCAAACCCAGCATGACCCGCAGTGACTGCAGTGGTTCTCCCCCTCCACCCCCTCTGCCTGGAGACACCTCACAATGTCCAGAGACATAACCATGGGGAGAGGACCAGTCCACAGAGAAGAGTCATCTGACTGTCTGGCCCCAAATGTCAACAGTGACAAGATGGAGAAGCCCTGCCTTCGGGCCTCTGCTGGACCAAGCACCAAACCCTTCTCACCCTGGGGGCATCTGACACTAACCGAATCACTGGGGCAGGTCTTCAGCACTGGCAAATCAGATGCACGTTCTTTTATTTTTATGTATTCTTGGTGCACATTTGCAATGAACAAGAATAAAACATCATAAGCAAAGTGAGGAAAATAAAAATAAGATCACCATAGTCTCAGAGCACATGACAATATTTAGTGTTAATTAAACCCTTCTAGCGTTCCTATATATTTTCTAAGTTCCACCCAAATCAGAATTTATCTATTGAAACAACAAAATAACCAGTTCCAATTATCAGGACTTTTCATCAGCACAGATTTCCACTGAAAAGCAAGGAAAGTTCTCTGCTAAACTGGGATGGTACGGTCAGTAACATGCTGTCCTGGGAGGAGGTCTGGTCCTGATTATTTGCCATGTCCAAGATTAGGACTCTGTCACTTCACTCCTCAGAGCTTAGGTTGTTCTGATCCACACAGTCAAGATAAAGCTACTTGCCCTCCCAGCCTTCCAGGGGCTCATGAGAGCTAAGTGAGTTCATGGTAAAGAAACTGCTTTGTAAACTTGTAAAGAATTTAACATAGCAGCACTCGTAGTGCCGTGGGTGGGATGCTGGCCAAATACAAGGAGGCTGGGCGGGGGGGGGTTCAAGCCCGGCCTGGGCCAGCTAAAACAATAAAAACTACAAGAAAAAAATAGGCAGGCATTGTGGTGGGCGCCTATAGTCCCAGCTACTTGGGAGGCTGAGGCAAGAGAATTGCTTACTGAGGGTGACATAGTGAAACTCTGTCTCAAAAAAATAAAAAAAAAGAAGAATTATACAAATGCCTGATAAGACATTCAAGACATTCATATATACAGGGCAATACATGTCAGCCACCAACAGTCTTTCAGAAACTTTGGATCCTTCCTGTGAAATGTCACCACTAGAGGTGACATGGAAACCAACGAATCTAACCCCTTCCTCTTACAGAAGGTGAAAGTGACCACCACAGAGGCCAAGTGACCTGCCCCAAGCCAGGCCAACAAACCGCCTCACTGAGCACCAGTCTTCTGACTCCTAACCCAGGCCACTCCCTAGGCCTCCCATTGGTGACGCTTTCCCACCCTTGGCCATTTTAAGTTCCCACAGGGAAGAACATCTCACACTCAAGTGTCACAGGGCCCTGTAAACAGGAGATAAATGCCAATTGAATTGGTGACCAAAATGTACAATCTAGTATCTTGACTTACTACATCATAGCCTGTCGGGGCTCGGTTCCGAGAAGCTACCACCCCAACTCCAGTGATGGGGTCCATTGACGTTTCTGGCAAGGCTTCTGAAAGGTCTTTGACTTCAGGCATGGTGGCTTGGTCCTGGTTCAGAAAATGAAAAAGAAAGCATAAAATTCAAACCTAGCCTTTAAAATGAACAATACAAAGTCTCAAACAGAGAATCAGAATCTTAGGGCAAATACCCTGAGCTAAGCTCCATGCACCTGAATCGGCTGAAGGGGCCCTGGCCTCACCCAACCCTTTCCTCAGATCAGCAATTCAAATGGCCTCTGCTCTTCCCAAGTTAGCTTCGAGCACTGAGCTAACATAGTTAATTAATGAGGGCTTGTCCCTGATCTTAGGAGGTAATTTTGACTCAAACCCAAAAGCAAATTACTTTCAACTCTACTGTCTAGCTGCCTGATTTCTGAACAGATACCAGTAACTCCTCTGAGGATAAATCAGACAGGGCTAAGTCTAACCCCACCTTTCATTTCTTTCCCTTACAGCCTCTCCTTAGAAGTACAGACTTCCAAATCCAGTCTCTACACAATGAAGGTTAGACTTCCAGCAGGCAGAGCTTTGCAAATAAGCAGGGAACTTTGCAAACATATAGAAGAAAGAGTGTGGGCCATGGGGTAAAGGAATGGTGTTAGAATTCAGGCTTTGTAACTGACTAGCTGGTGATTTGGGGCAAACAATGTCACATCTTGGAGACTTAATTTTCTCAACTATAATACAAGGTCATAATACTGACACTTGCAGAGCTGTTGTGATAACAACAAAGAGTCAATGTAAATGAAGGGCTTGGCAGAGACTCCTGGTACAAAGTAGGCACTCAGCAAAAAGCAGCTGAGATGGCGAGACTGGTAGGGTTTGGGGCACACTGGCTAGTTACTCCAGTGTAACTAGCCAGAACTGTGGTATGCGTCTCTCCCTAAAGGACTGGCGGAGCCCTTCATTTTGTTTCACCTCCAGGTCATCTGGGCCTTTACTCAAAGCCAAACACTAACAATGACCATAATTCTTGCTGGGCACTTTGGGAGAAAGGGAAGGAAAATGGAATTATTATTCTGCTGCTGACTGTATCTTGATGTGACCAGAGGAGACAGGTGGAATACAGAGAGCACTGGGTCTGGGCAGCTGGAGTGGCAGTGTACCAGAAAGCAAATCAAAGAGGCAACACCTTATGTAAATGAATCTAAGTACTTTTAAAAGGACAAGCAGTAAAAAAGAGCAAGTCAAATTCTACCTCCTTCTGCAGCAATTAAATTTCACTGGCTACAGGTCTGCCAGATCTCTCAAGGCTGGTTACTGCTTTTAAAGCAAACCAAACACCGTGCCTCATGAGACAGGCAGGAGGTACAGTCTTGCTTCTTAGCCTAGAATCAGAAAAGGCAGAGGCTATTAAAAATGCCTGCAGCCTCCTAAAACAGGAACAATCAAAATGCTGTATGCAAGTCACCCATGAAGTCAACGTAACCCACAAAAGGCTCCGGAAATGGACTTGTCAATGCCATGGAGCCAAGTCCATGATCAAGGCTAGGAAGCGCCTGGCACAGCTACACACTCGGCTTCTGTTGAAGATGAAAGCTAAACTACATTATGTTTTACTTAAGTTAACTGAAAATTTGCTTCTAGATGGCCAGGGCAGGGGGGGAGGCTGCCAAGCTGCATCACTGCACCATTCCCTGTTTTCAAATTTCATTTACCAGGGAGGTTTATCTATGAAAAGCACAAGGCTTAGTGCTTCCTGCACACCATGGGCATTAAGTAAATATTTGAGTGAATACACATGCATGTCTTCGATAAAGATTTAAAATTAAATGTCTACAGCTGCCCGATCCAAACCAAGCACTGATCAAAATGTCTCTGCACTTGAAAAATCCTGTATTATGGTAACATGAAAATAACACTTCTGCAGTTTGCAAAATATTGGTACCTGCTGTTGGTTACCAAAAATGCTTTGCAATTAACAACTCATTAACAGAATGTACAGATTTTGCCAGAGCTAAAATACCATGCTGTGAATTTAATAAAGAACAAGTGAGGTAAGTTGTTTTTTTGTTTTATAGATAGTACGGCCTCTACTATCAGAGAGAGAGAGAGAGAAGGGTGAGAGAGAGAGACAAAGAGGGTAAGCATAAATAAGCAATATCTTGTTTGCTGATGGATTCATTGCCATGTCCTCTGGTCACAACATCCTCCCCAAGGTACTGATGACAATGGCTCTCTTGCTCTGAAGCACGCTCTCAACTGCAGGGGGGTGAACTCGCTCTCACAGAAGCAATGCTGCTCCCAGAGTGCACCCAGGCACGGCCCAGCTGCAGACGCCAAGATGGCTGCAGCAGCCCCCAGCCACGGCAGACAAAGGAGTCAGGGCTGTGTCTGTGCTGGTCACAGCCCAGCCTGCCCAAGGCTGAGCAGAGTGGCTGCAGAGAGCCCACTGTTCCCTCTCCTTCCCCGCCAGCTGCTGTACCCTGGGGATCAAGGCAGTCTTTGTGAAATGTAGACAAATGGCTGTGGCCGACTCTGGTGGAGGAAGCGCCACCATCAGCCAAGGAAGCTTTTAATGAGAAACGCCCAAGATATCCATGGCAGAGACCATCACTCAAAGTGGGTTGCCCTGAATTACATATTTTCTGACTGCAAATTACTTTTAACAGCGTCTCTACTGGCACTTCAATTGACCTTCCTAACAAAAGGCCATTTATTAACTAGTACTCCACCGTTTCCCAGGCTGCATGGAGCCTCAAGCTGGGAGGGATGGCACCACCACAGAACACTCAGCCACCCAGGGTCACAGGCCAAGCCACTACCAGGGGGAAGAAGACGCCATTAATGTAAGCCCATAGAAAAATCCAACTGGAGCGAGGAGGGCAAGGGAGCAGGGTGTAAGACCAACATTAACCTGTCTGGACTAAAATGTAAAATCCGGAGGCTGCTTGCAGCAACTCTTGCTTTCATCTCAGCAGCCCTCCCCCAGCGCCCACCTCTATCTCAAAATCCTAACTGCACGCAAAACAGGCAAACACACTCCTGCGGCATTGCAACAGCACTCTGCAAGGCTCCTCTCAGTAGACGCTCACATCGGAGCTGGGAGACGGCCAGTTTGTTAGCCCCATCTTACAGGAGAGAAAACTGAGGTTTCAACTTTTCAAATACCACACAACCAGTGGACAGCAACCCCTCAGGGACCACCCTCTCCCTCCAGACCAGGTCTGTTCTGCCTCCAAAGAGGAAAGAGGCACCAATACCCACCCAAGTGAGAAAGCCGTTTCAACACTAATTATATTTTAAAATGCCGAAGCTCTTCTTTCTCTAGCCACAGCTCAATAAGTCAAGCGGGGGGTTGGGGGGAGTAGAGAAAGATAAAAGTAACATGGGATTAATTTTCCTCACACCTCAGTTTCAGGATTCAACATTCCCCTCATAAATAATTTACAACAATAAAAATGAGCTAAGGCCATGTTTGTGTAGGATGGAGGTAAATTTAGGCCTAATGAGGGAGATCCGAGCACCGCACAGGAGGGAATAGGTTGATCTATGGTGCGGCGCGTGCTGGATCGGCAGCTCACAGGGGCTCCATTACCAACTGGAAGCCGCAGGACTGGTGGGGGTGGGCAGTGGGTACATGAAGTGGGGAAACCTGTGCCACCCCAGCTGTGGCTACAAAGAGGGTCTCCACAGGAAACACCAGAAGTTGACCTGTTGGTTTGGATGAGAAGACAACAGATGCTGAAATTCTTCAAAACGTGGATTGAGCCAATCCAAATTTATTCTCAGTGAATATCAGATAAGGAATGAAAGTGGTGGGGTGCCAGGGAGACACATCTGACTTGGAGCTGGTCCCCAGATTTAACCTCAGAGGTCATTTGTTCCCAATTCCCCTCCCAACCTTTCTGAGTGGACATACAGCCTCTGCTAGACCGTTTCCAAGGCTGGGTGCTGCAGAGCTTCGCTCCAGGCAGCTGTTCCTATGTCTGACCCTCGAGGGCTCCTCTGCAAGGTGGAAGAGAGTGTATGTGTGTGTGTGCATACGTGTGCATACACCCATGTGTGCATGAGCTGGACAGGCAGGGAGGGTTAGGGTGAGGCACTTTCCAAACCAGCAGGACTTCTTCTACCACACCATACCAAGAACACCGTGCAAGACCAGAGGGAGCCTGTTCTTGCTTCTGACTGCAAGGCTGCAGACAGCATTGGGGGGACGGCCCCCAGCACCGCAGCACCTTGCCAGTGCTGTCCTCCCTGGTTCATGGAGAAATGAACTTTAACTATAAAGCCCCTTCATACAGACGGCACACTGCTCCCTTGTAGCTGATCAAAGAATTACTACAACAGTGTGCTTAATCCCTAAAAGTCAGCAGTGCTGGGCTTAACTGATGCTGAACATTGTTTCAGAATCAAAGGCATGCCTCCCGGCCCCAGTCTGGGAGAAAACTGAGCTACTGTATCACAGTTGAAAACTCAGGGGAACTTTGATATCATCTCTGTTTAATTTCCACAGCCCTAGTGAGCCTGGGGTTTATCTCATTTTATCAACTCCTGTACTGAAATCAAAACCCAACTAACAAAGCTTAGCCCTCTCTGCACCAGAGGCCCTTCCCACAGCAGGGTGTGGGCTGAGGAGTTTAAAGTGCTTTCAGGGGCCAATAACTGCAGGGGGCAGGGGGTGCTGCCTTCAAAGGAGGCCCTGAGGGCAGTGGGCCTGGGCCCCAGCCTCCCTGCCATCTCGGGCTCCTGCCGTGGCCAGGAAGGCTGGCTCAGAAGCTGCGCCAGCACTGCTGGTCAGGGCTGAAAGCACAACTCATGCACAACTTTTCAGAACAATTTCAAAGTAATAAGGGGGGCAGGTGAAATCAGGCTACTATATTTGAAATGACAAAAACAGTGGGTTAATTAAATCCCTAAAGAAGGAAGAACTTGTGATCAGCTTGCTTGAAATCCAAAGCCAAGGGCATCACAGACATAATCTGTTTGCCCGCATCTTCCACTTTGGAGTGCTGGGGAAGGGAATGGGATAAATATTTCACTCGCCATGGGAAACGGCACAAGAGCAGGTGGTTGGTGGAAACAGACTGTCCCCCAGTGAAAGCTGC